CTTCACGTCAGTGATGGATTTTTTAAGCCAAGAGTATATTTTTTCAAGTTAAGGATATGATTTTTTAAGTTGTTAATAAATGAATGAATGTCATATTTTTCATTACATTTTTCTTATTTTTAACTGTAAAGTGTTGTCTTATCATTTTTAAACGAAAAATATGCAATTGTGGTATAGGGACAAAGGGTAGGCGCCTTGCTCCAAGCCCATGGGCCCATTGCCCCAGGGGTGGGGCAATGGGCCCATTTTGACACTTTTTATAATATAGTGTTTCATTTTTTACTTTTTTAAACTAAATTTTTGATGAAGTTTTAATTGATACGAGGTGGTTCTTTGTTATGTTTAAAGGTACAACTAATGAGGAATGTATGATGTGAATAAGACGCCTATAGAATTATTCAATTTTAATTGAAACACTATTTTATAAAAAGTGTCAAAATGGGCCCATTGCCCCACCACTGGGTCAATGGGCCCATGGGCTTGGAGCAAGGCGCCTACCCTTTGTCCCTATACCACAATTGCATATTTTTCGTTTAAAAATGATGAAACAACACTTTACAGTTAAAAATAAGAAAAATGTAATGAAAAATATGACATTCATTCATTTATTAACAACTTAAAAAATCATATCCTTAACTTGAAAAAATAAACTCTTGGCATAAAAAATCTATTACTGACGTGAAGAAAAATATTTCATTGACATAATAATGTGTATATCCTTGACTGGAAAAATATATCCTTGCGATAAAAAATTCATCCTCGACATGAAAAAAATGTATCCTTGACTAGAAAAATATATTTAGTTGATCAGAAAAAAACTTCGTTCCAGCTTCGTCCCTAATCCAGATATTATGTGCAGATAATTCGTACTTAATCGTGATTTCAGCCAACACCATAAAAACTCATCAACTTTTGACTCATTGGTGTTGACTAAAATCAACTGTTGGCAAGGCAAGAGTAAAAAATTCGATAAGGGGTGAAATACGCATAACTAGAAACTAGAACCTGTTGCCTAGAGGCAGCAAATCAAAAAATCATGCAATATGAAGTGTAATTTGTAATTCAAAAAGCTAGTCATAGTTTTGGAAAGGTCATTGAGACAAATCTAATGATGTATAACACAAGACTTCACCATGGGCGTTTTGCCCCGTGACACGCGTGGGCCCGTTACCCCACTAGATATCATTTCAATTTATATCGTGTCATCATTTTATTTTATAAGCTAATAGTCTAAACTTGAACTCAAAATTATTCCTGTAAATATTACTTTCAAAATATAATTCACAGTTATTTCAGAATCTTCATCTACAGTAATCGAAAACAGTTTTATTTAGCAGCAAAAAATTTTATCTGGGCTAACCTAATAACGCAAACACTTAGCAAAACGTAAATCCGTACACTTCATCCCAGTGGAACTGTCGACCGGCGGTAGAGAACACGGACTAATATCTGCCATACTTAGCGAGAAACCCGCTATGGGCCCATGACCCGCAGTGGTGCGTTTGCCCCATGTTACCCTACTATGGACAGTTAAACTTTACGTTAATAAAACCTACTAGTTCTATAGCTTAAGCGTCATAACTGAATTTTTTGTAATTCTAACTTCTTAATTATCACAGTAATAAATTCTCACTTTTATTATACGTCCAAAATAAATAAATAAAATTGTGCAAGCTGAAATAAAAAAGGGTTTTTCTATCCCATTCATCATTCATATGTCTGATATTTTATCTTTTTGTCTACACAGCTGACGTTCTCTTATTTCATCTTAGAAATAGTTTTCCAAAGCTGACCATCATAATTAATGATTTTCTGAGCATAATGACTTTTTCCCTACTTATTTTACATCAGACAAATACATTTGTGCCAAATTTTATCAGTAGAAGAAAAAAAAATAAAAACTGAGAATTCATCGGACTTTAAAAAGCATAAAATTATCGATAAAATGGTGTTTTTATCGCAAAATATTGCAATATTTCTTAGTTTATATAATTTAGCTCATAATATAGATATAAATTGATTTATTAGCCTAAAAAAATTGGTTTTTGGCAGCAAAACTGTTCCAGTCTACTAATTCAAACCGCCGCATATCAGCATATAGATTACTTAGGCGGCCATTTTGAAAATCACTAATTTGAAGCCTTTCCACCAATTATATTTTAGAGGATTTTTTATATGTCTTTTCTGAGGCCTTGCTGCATGTTATGGTGATGGAGAAAATTCTTTTGCGATTAGTTCTAGGTTGACCCCTTTTTTTCACTAGGTTTCCTGGACTATTTGTACATGGGGGTAACAACTGGTAAATGGGACCACCTTGGTCCCGGAAAAACTTCTACATTTACCAACCGCTCTTTCTGAAATGTCACCCTCGTACGTAAAAGGTAAAAAATTTGCTCGTATGGATTTTTCGAATAAATAAAAGAAAACGTGAAATTACTAGAAAAGGGCTAAGAATGGTGTACTCTAAAAAAGTTGATAACTTTTGCAAATCACACGCTACAATATCGAGACACATTTCATTCGATATGTAACAAAATTATCTAGCGGCTCTAGAGCCCCAATTTTCGATTATGGTCATCGTTTTTTTTTATGCGCGTTTTCGATTTTTCACTTTTCTCAGTCCCCCACCCCAACTCCCCCCATATATAAGTCAAACCATAGACAAATAAAAAAAACTGGCTCCTAGAGTCGCTATAGGTATGGTCTTTACGAATATCTTTCATTGCTGTAGCTTAAATACTGTAGGAGTTATAAAGATTTTAATATGTTTTTTAGATATTAAATTGTTCAGGGGAGCCAAATAAAGTAAAATTTATTGAAAAAATAAGAATATGCCAAAAAAAATTCTTGATATTATAGCCCAAGCTTCATCATTGCCAATTACTTGCATTTAGGGTATACCAGCGCGCGTCTTAAGACTTATCTTGTCCAGTTTAACGTAAATAATAAGCTATTAATGGGACTTTATAGATATATGTTATAATTATTTATTTATTATATTTTATTACTTTTTATTATATTTATAGATGTATAAAATATTGATTTTATATAAGTTCAAAACTGCATTACGCACAAATTATTGCATGCACATCCCTGATATTTGCTTTTTTGAACGCTCATCGTTTGTAGCTTTCAAAGGAGTGAAAACACTTTGCAATTATAGCAAATTACGATCTATGAATACCATTTTAAAATGAAAATTTGTAAATATTGTTATTAAATGCTCATTGTATAAAATTTCAAAACTGCATAACGCAAAAATTATTGCGTGTACATCCGTGGTAGTAGCTTTGTTGAACACGTCTTGTTTGTAGCTTTCAAGCGAGTGCAAACACTTTGCAATTAAATAGAGTAATGATCTATAAATGCAGATTTAATTCAAAGAAATCTTTGTACATATTGTTAAAAAAAGTTCTTTTTATATATTTTTGAAATTGTTTTACGCAAAAACTAGAGCACGCTCATACATGCGGTTTGTTGCGTTAGACGCGCCTTTTCACCAGCTACGAAATGATCCAAGAAAACGGAAAAGTCAAAATTTTTTATTTTTACGAATGTCATTTTTAATTTTTGAGAAAAAAATCTGTACTAATTTTCACCGCAGCGTATCAATAATAACTACTTACATTTTGAAATTCAAGCAAATCCGTTCGGTATTGAAGGACTTATGAGTGGTTCAGTTGCGCGAGTCCGCAGGCGGGTCCGGAGAAGTGTCGATTCAGTCTATCAGGGAGGCTGTTCCACATGTCGGTGACTCGAAGCGAGAAGAAATGTTGTTGCGTGAATGTGTTACAACGCAGTTTTTTAGTTTATAGCCGTGGCCCTTGGTGCTGGATCTTGTTTCAAATCTTACGACTCCTTTTGGCACCTTGTATAAACCGTGGGTTTACTTAAAGAAAAAAGCAATAATAAAATTGGAATGACCAAACCATAATAATATAACACAAATGGTCATCCAGGGCTTAAGAGGTTCCATTGCTATTATAAATATAAACTATACAATGCAATAATTGACAAATAGCAATAACAAACCAAATGAATTTCTCCTTCCCCTTGTTTTCATCTCACTCTTAACACAAACTTTCACACCTCTCTAGCCTCTCCTTTAATGTCGCTTCCACCTGGCTTGGTCTCCCTTTTTCCTTCCTACTAACAAATGAATATGTGATGCGTGGCTGATGGCCGTTGCAAAGACCTGACCCTGAAATGTCTTTTTTTTTTCTCAGAGTCACCACGCCCCAAATCCAAGCTTAGCCTGAAACGCTTCCGACATTGATTTTATTCAGGATCTTTTTATTGCTGAAAGTTACAACTAACTATGAACTCGCTAATGCAATATTTTATGAATTCGCTACAATTTTCAGGTACTTCTGATCCTATCCTTCAAATTTTCCATCAATTTGTCCTCAGAGAGAGCAGGACAACGTATGACCAAGGAACGCTCTTATACTTATTGTATTTCTTTACGAATATCTAAGTTACAGCAAATGTTACGTAGAGCGCCGGTAGACAGACGTAGAAGACGGTATTATTTTGAGGGGAGGCAATCCTATACCAGCTGTGAGCAGCGCAGGCCGCAAATTCTTATAGTTCCTCCTCGGCAAGTTCCAACACGCAGAGAGCAGTTTAATTCAACACACCTGAGGCAATCCTATACCAGCTGTGAGCAGCGCAGACCGCAAATTCTTATAGTTCCTCCTCGGCAAGTTCCAACACGCAGAGAGCAGTTTAATTCAACACACCCAACACGCAGAGCGCAGTTTAATTCAACACACCCAACACGCAGAGCGCAGTTTAATTCATCACACCCAAGTAGTATTCAGTTAATTCAACACACCAACTAATAACCCAAACAGCTCTCAAATCTCAGCACATTAGTCGAACAATAATCATCATGATGGAGTTTGTACACAACCAACTGAAGGTTCCTTTGATGGTACATATGAACTGCAGCTCTAGATGGAGGCATCACAACTAACATTCAGGAGTAAAACTACTTGGAGATTCCGTCATGATGATTTTATTAGAAGATATGTGTATAAAAATTGATATAAAGTCTTAAATTTAAGCATTTAAAGTTTAACATGTATTAAAAACAACATTTTATACTGCAAGGCACAGTTATAAACGAACTTATTCCGATGTCTTAACAAAGAAGTAGGCACTCCAGGCAACAATAAATCTTCACTAGAGCCTTCATAAGGCTTAGACTAGGGAATGCGATGCAAGTCTTCTACTTACTCGTCCTTAAGTAAGTAGACACGGTATATACATGCATAGTTTGGTCTATAGGAGCACGGGTGGCTTTAGACACGGTATATCCATGGGCAATAAGGGGATGGGGGGCAGCTGTTATCAGGAAGGGTCTTGGGGTCGGGGAATCGTGCTTTCACTTCAAATTAAATACCTTCACATGCATGAATAAAATAAACAATCGTCTCTAAAACTCGTTTGTTCTCGCCACACCGGAGTAATCCCACGACGAAATGCACTTGACTTTGATTATAACCAATTCCATGTCCGGAATGATGCACCTAAATTTTATCTAAAGCTCAAGGTTTTAATCTTAATCATGTTGAGTAAATTTTTCCACCAAGTCTGTGACGCTGTCCTGCTGTTGCCACAATGCATTACTTAACAAATTCAAGGGGAAATATTGGGCGAAATAACGTACTTCCGCCGAGTCATGCTAATTCAGGGTAACGCGGTTGAACGAACACGATGTCAAATGAGCTAAAATAAAAGGACATCACTTGATCACGTGGGTAACACCGTCATCAGAGCCGTACGGTGTTGAAGAAAATACATAAATAAACGATAACAAATAGAATACAATTGAATAAGTCAGGGCCAAAGATCGAGATCAAAATAGCGATTCCAGCGTACAAAATGTCGAATTTTTCGTCAACTTCATATGAATGTTTTACTTACTGATTTTTTTTTATCTCAATTGCATGGGTGTAACTTATTCAACAGGTATTTTATCTTTGTGACTAGTTCAAAATCTCTAGATGAAACATAAACTCACTAATGACAAAAATTGTACTAAAATTAAGAGGAACCAGATATTCGTTGGCGCATCCTAAAGTTCGAAATAAAAGAAAATAGTTCTCATCATAAGTGCACATAATATAAATTACAATTTGGGCAGGACACAGTCGCCTTCCTCACAAGCCCCTCACTCACAGGTTGGCTCTGCATTAATATTAGGTACGGTAGATATTCATCTTCAGTCAATATCAACATTTTCATCATAAACTTGAGAGAGCAAAATACAACAGATGCCGCAGCTCCGAAATTATGTGACACTATCTGAATCACACGAAAAAATATGTCTGCGGCAACATTAAATGTCGTCTATGTCGACATTAAATGCTGGCACAAGTTAGAAATGATCAATGACCTCTGCATATTGTGTGGTGATCTAATATCATCTAAACTGACTTTCATCGACTTAATTCAATAGTTCCGATAATTCAGAACTCTGCAGCCACGTTAAAAGTTGTCTCGCCTGGAGAGGAAATGCCTTCTTTCGATCATTGCCTTCAGTGCATCCGGTGCTGCACTCTGCACTGCTAGTTCTCTGGGACTCATCTGGTCGCCGATGACTAGTAGAAGAAATAGATACCTGTGGGAATGGGACAGTGTTATTGCCAGCCCTGCAGTGTTATTGCCAGCCCTGCAGTGTTATTGCCAGCCCTGCAGTGTTATTGCCAGCTTCCAGACGCTGGAGCTCCTGCTCCAGATGCTGGAAGTCCTGCTCCAGACGCTGGAGCTCCTGCTCCAGACGCTGGAAGTCCTGCTCCAGACGCTGAAGCTCCTGCAGCAGACGCCGGAGGTCCTGCTCCAGAGGCCGGAGGACCTGCTCCAGACGCCATCTTGCAGCTCCGACCCCTGCAAATGAAATACAATTTATGATATATGCAACATACTGAACAGTTATTATTTACATTGGATAACTCTTGCGTTAATTATTATGCAATTATTTCAACTTAAAATCACGTGAAAAAATACAATGAACATTCATATCAACAATGTTCACTCTTGCTTGAAAGAAATGTAGAACCTTTCACATCAGCCGTTAACCTCTCAAGACAGGCAGGCAGCTTGATGCTCACACCATAGCTTTGCATTGAAACTTTTTGGAACTTTTGTAATAATAATATTCAAATTATTATACAACATAACTGATATTGCAACGATATCTAACATCTAAAAGAAAATAAATATATGATTTTACTAACATTGTCAAAGAATAATCTTCAGTGTTACTGAGCACGAACAATGTTTCACGAAAACTTATCAAATAATATAAATAAATCTGCTTTAGAACAAACATAATGTATGCACACACCAGTTGCCTTTGGTGTAGATCTTATCCCTGTCCTTCTATCACAGTTAAGATGTTTCATTACTAGTCATTAATAAAATATGATGTGACTTGAATAGAGATAGTTTATGGGTTGTATTATGTTTGTGAATGACCATTAGCATCATAACCTTTATGGAAACTTGATAAGATAACGCAGTAAACAACGAACCCTTCAATGTACCCCTCGCACTGAAACCAGTCTTGAAGTCACAACACTCTGTTAATAGCACACGCTCGCAAGATGCTCACCCTATCATGGTTCACGCTAGACTGCTGTCCTCAACTGCCTTGCCGCCAACTTGCGTCACGTTACAGCCAGCCTACGCCACGTAGGCTACCGGCGTTCCCCGAACCAATCAGAGCGCAGCACAAAGCCATCTCACGACCAAACTAGCGTGACGTCACAACCACTCGGCAACACTAGCAGACCAATCAGATATTAACACACTCGTCCAAACACCACTCACCCCAACAAACACCACTCACTATAACAAACACCACTCACCCCAACAAACACCACTCACCCCTGTCTCTTATACACATCTAGATGTGTATAAGAGACAGAGCCACAACAGTCACTGGCACAAAACAATAACAGCCACAACAGTCACTGGTTGTTCAGTGCCGCCGTCTACTCACCTGCCAAACTTTACAGCGTGCGTGAGGCTCGCACCGCGCGCTTCCTCCAAGTCACTCGTCCTGATGTCTTCATCCTGCAGCCTCTGCAGGAGATCTCGCAGCTCCTCATCACTCAGCTTCTCATTACACAGATGGAACTCTAGCGACAGGCTCGAGAACCTGGACAGATAAAGTTCAGCGTCATCACCGTCAGCTCACAACACATTAATGAAGAACATTCAACATTAAAATATAAATGTATTAATGAGTAATTTACAAAATAAACTAGGTAATATATATAAATTTTAGAAAAAACACAACATCTCTAGTTCTCAGCAAGATCTCACACTCATTAAAATATGCTCATCAAGATTTCACTTTCCCGGTGCTGTGGGGATGAGGGGATAACAAACCTCTTATCTTGGGGGGTCAGGGAAATGATGGCGTCGGCCAAGTCCCGCGGGTTGCATGGCTCTCCCGCAATAATGTCCAGACGTGGCGGGCGGGTGTGAGAGCCACCAGGCAGCTGCCTCGTGTGGGAGGCGTGGTCAGAGCTCGCAGGATAGAGATCTAATCTCCCTGAGCATATAATAAACTGTGATTAAAATATAGGCAAATAACACAATTATCTGCTGCATATAACACAATTATCTATTTCTAAGAATTCATAGTAACTCTTCACCATTCATTGCGTGTTTTGCAATGAATGGCAACATGTGTGCTGATGNGTGCAGTAGACGTGGCAACATGTATGCTGATGTGTGGTGTGGTGCAGTAGACGTGGCAACATGTGTGCAGATGTGTGGTGTGGTGCAGTAGATGTGGTGCTATGTGGTGTTTGTTTTCATGTTAAGCACTTGACTCCCTCAGGCAAAGAGGCAGCTATACCTCCAGCATTCCCTGAGACTGCTGGGCTACACTCACAGTTGCCCTCAGTTGTCTCCGTTGGCATTGCGGTCACACGCAAACGGATGTCGAGTTGAGAGCGACGAGCCATCGCGGCAAGGGCGGCCGCCCCACTTAGCCCCACTGGCCCACTGAACTGGCTCAGCCTCACGCTGTCCACCAGGAAAATAATCACAAGTTAAACTACATTTGCTTATGAATGATTATTTTATGAATGATTATGATCTGATATTATGATGATTATGAATGATAATGATATATGATATTATGATTTATGAATGCTTATTTCATTCAGTTTGACTGAATGACTAATATGGTTTGACTGATATGGTTCAGTTTCAGTTTGATTATTTCATTCAGTTTTTATTTAGTTTGACCTATCCATCTGAATTTCATTCAGATTAATAATATGAGCAAATAATGCATGCTATTGCTAATCAAACTTGTGAAGAATAATGATAATGAATAATGAAAATTACTCAAATAAAATAAACCTACCAAATGCATATATCAGGAAAATACATTACGATATATTATACGTAAGAAATGTATCATTGCACCTGAAAGGTTCTCACCTGCTCCCGGGCAGATGCCGGAGGAGGTCGTCACAGAGGGAGCCGGAGTCACACAGGTTCAAAAGCACAAGCTCTGCGCTTCCCGCTTTCTCCAGGAACTCCACCCACTGGGCCTTCTTCTGAGCGAAGACCTCCATGACCACCCACAGGCGCCATGGCACAGCGTGATGAAGCATCGCAATCACTGCCGCTACGTGGTGATCTGCGAGATAATAATAAAATGTAACGCATAATATTAACATCTAATGAAACACCTAATGTAACACATAATAATAACATCACTCATTAGAGTGTACGTCACTCACGACATTCAACAGAGTGCACGTCCCTCATGTGTGGTGCAGTAGACGTGGCAACATGTGTGCTGATGTGTGGTGTGGTGCAGTAGACGTGGCAACATGTGTGTTGGTGTTTGTTTTCATGTTAAGAACTTGACTCCCTCAGGCAAAGAGGCAGCTATACCTCCAGCATTCCCTGAGATTGCTTGGCTACACTCACAGTTGGCTTTAGTTGTCTCCGTTGGCATTCCATCGATATTCAAACGGATGTCGCGTTGAGAGCGACGAGCCATCGCGGCAAGGGCGGTCGCCCCACTTTGCCTCACGTACCCGTGGAACCCGTTCAGCCTCACTCTGTCCACCAGGCAGGGTTGGCGATTTTTTTGATTTTTTTTTTTAAAAATCAAAAAAATCAAAAATCAATGATTTTTTTATTTTTTCATGATTTTTTTTATTTATTTGATTTTTTTGATTTTTTCAACTTTTTTGTCTTTTTGGTGTGTTATTTTTTATGTTGCAATTAGCCTATCAACAAAAACAGTATATAGATCATAGTGGATGGCTAAAAAGGGCACTTATTGCCTTCAATAATGGCCAACAGGCCAAGGTGGTGTTTACCACTTAGGGATTTTTGGGTAAACAAGAAATTAAATATTTTAATTAGAATACTCGTATTAGGGTGGTAAATCTTTCTAATTGCCTAAAAGGTCAATACAATCTCAACCTCTCAATATACAGGATGGGGGAGAACCGATTGAGCAGTTTTGAGGTAAAATAAGAGTAATGGAGGTACATAAAGAGGAAAGTTTATTTTCCTAGAAGTTAGCATAACATACCATTTAGAATACTTATTTTTTGACAACAATATCTGGAAGATGGGGGGCTATTAGCTGCAACACACTGTTGGAGTCGTTTTTGGAGGAGGGAGTAACCATAACAGTGAATTTCAATCGCTATGCTGCAATGTTGCAAAATTTCTTGCAGCCCATGATGGAAAACATTGTTGAAAATGAAGCATTGGGAGATGTGTGGTTGCAGCAGGATGGGGCTACAGCTCACACAGCCCAAATGTCACTCAATGTTTTGAAACGCATGTTCCCAGACTCTGAGGGGTGATTTACAGTGGCCTGCGAGGTCACTTGATTTGAGCATTTGCGATTTCTTTCTTTGGGGACATCTAAAAGAGAAGTTCAGAAGTTGCCCTCACACCCTACCACAGCTAAAGGAACGGATTATTGCAGCAGAGGTTATGGCCATACCTTGCCATATGTGTGAACATGCTGTAGGAAACTTCCGAGAACGACTCCAACAGTGTGATGCAGCTAACAAACCCCATTTTCCTGATATTGTTTGCAAAACATGAGTATTTTAAATAGTATGTTATGCTAATCTTGAGGAAAATAAACTTTCTTCTTTATGTACCTCCATTACTCTTTTATTTCGCCCCAAAACTGTTCAATCAGTTCTGCCCCACCCTGTATAAGCTAGCTAACACATTCAAATTGTATATTGTAATCAATATATAACAAATAGTCAAATAGTTAAAGACTACTTATAGCCTTATAAGAATTAGCTAAGCTGCTAGTTACGTACAATGTATTGCACACTTGATGCCTCTGTACCAAAAACATTCAATTTATTGGAACCTAATACACACTAAAGGCAACGAGTTTATATACAATTTGTCATTTATAGTACATTTATACTAAACCATAAATAACAATACCTAAACCATGAATAACTATTAAAGACTGCCACTCAATAAATTTAAATATATGAAAAAATCAAAAAAATCAAAAAAATCGAAAAAATCAAAAAAAATCATTTTTTATAAAAAATCAAGTGATTTAATCACATGATTTAATAATTTTGATTTAATCATTGCCAACCCTGCCACCAGGAAAATAATCACAAGTCGAACTGAATTTCATTCAGTCAGTTTAAATGAATGGATAAAGTGAGCAAATAATGTATGTTATTGCTAATCAAACTTATGAAGAATAATGAAAAAATACTCAAATAATATACGCCTACAAAATGCATATATCAGAAAAATGCATCACGATATCACGAGAAATATATTATTGCACCTGAAAGGTTCTCACCTGCTCTCGGGCAGATACTGGAGGAGGTCGTCGCAGAGGTAGACGGGGTCAAAAGGGTTGCCATGCTCATTCAAGTTACTAAGCGTAAGCTCTGCACTTCCCGTTACCTTCAAGAACTCCACCCACTGGGCCTCCTTCTGAGCGAAGACGGGCATGTCCACCCACAGAAGCTGAGGCTTAGCATGATGAAGCATCGCAATCACTGCCTCTACGTGGTGATCTGTGACAGTCGGCAGGGGTGAGTTAATTTGATACATGGTAATAAAATGTTATATTTTATGAAATATATTTATAATATAATATATAATATAATATTATTAATATAACATGTAATATACATAAAATATTACATAATAATAAAATAATAATTTCGTTCGGCTTTTTGAAAAAACAATAAGAAAATTGTTAATAAAAAGTACGCTCTGGTCTTCAATCAAACCTGTATAAATAATAAAATTTACTGCATAATAATAACATCTAATATGGCACCTAAAGTAACACATAATAATAACATCTAATAGTCTAATCTACTATGGCACATAATTATAATATTCAACAGAGTGTACGTCACTCACCACATTCAACAGAGTGCACGTCACTCAC